TGAGTCAAACAAACATCTCTTCTTGGGGAAATGAGGAGGAAGAAAATCGTACCAGGCCTGAGAGAACTATCTGCCTCATGAAAATTTTATACCCTAGTGAGGAAATGTTATTTATATAAACCCAGATCAAGACTTTGAAAATGTTAATTATTTGTTTTATGAGTTTCCATGTCTTAAAACTCACTGTGAATCTGGTTTGGGCTTTGAAGGGTAAGGACCAAATGTCGAGCTAATCCATGGAAAATACATGATTCTGACATAAACACATCTGCCTGCAATGAACTATTTTAACACATTCTTTTTTCATGGTCCACTTCAACCATAGAAGAGAAAAATAATTAAATTTGGGAAACAAGTGGAAGAGTTAGTCTTCAATAGCATGAATTCTATATTGTTAGACTTCATTTCTGGTTTGGAATTCAGGCTGCAATGATCTCTACTACTGGTTTTGGGGACCTAGGAAAGCTTATACGCACACTGCTACTTACATTACACCTTGTTGCTCAGGTTTCAACCACACAGCTAAGGTGAATGACGCCACCAGCCTTGGAGAAGGAGGAGAAGAAAAGCAGTTCTTGTGATTTCCAAAAATAAAACTTGTAGAATTGCTATGGGAGTTGGGACACAGATCATTCTTGTCTGGTGTGATGCAGCTACTGAGACCTGCTGAGAAAAGGGCAGTGTAGGGAGGGTGTGAAGATCTGTAGGGGCAGTCCTGAATGCAAAACCGCTGGGTACAGAACTGAATACTTCCAGCAGCAGCAGAGCTATGACAAAAAGTGCTTCGGTTGGGGAGTCCACATACTGCTTGCGTTGGCACAATTGAAACATTCTTAAAAGCTCCCACATTCTCCAGCTTTGGGAAAAGACCTCGTGAGTCCACCAAGGATATCAAAGCACAACAGGCAAAGATCAACATTTCAATGACATGAAGCAAGAAGCCAGAGCCCAATGAAAGAACCAGGCAATTCATGTTCACAAACAAGCAATACTTTAAAGCAGGGTACTTCAAGTAATGTTGCGAAACTCCATTTTCTGGAAACGGCAGATGCGTTCTCACAGTAAGTCAATATCAACGATGTTCTTAGCAATGGTGAAGACATGAGTAGCAGCTGGTATCTGAGGATCAAAAACACAGAGCGTCAAGGGAAAGCCGCTGCATCTTTAAAACTGAAGCTCATCCTAGGCATGAGGGCTTTGAGCTCCTAGAAGCAACACTAAAGAACTTCTCAAAAGTGTTCACTAATCAACATTTTAAAGTGCAGTGCTCAGAGTAAAATATTCTTTCTTTTAGTAAATCTCTTGATAGTACTGGGCAAATCAAGCACTTTAGAAGTCCACAGGACAACCAGCTATATTTATAACCATATAATAGATATGTGTGTATATAATTATGAATATATTATACATACAGTAATTTTAGGTTGCTATTTCACCCAGTGAGTTAGCAATAGCATTACTAACTCTACTTAACAAGGTAAAGAATCTTGCAGAGTTTCTTTACACGTGCCCTGTACATTGTAACCCAGAGCTAACTTGCAGATGCCCAAAATAAAGCTGGCAAAGCACTTTGGGCCTTTCCCCTTATCCCAGCCTGTACAGCAACTTTAAGCTCACAGTAAAGCTGATTAGAAACCCAACACCATCTGTCTGTCCTATGCTTTAATATTTAGCAAAATGTTTGTGTATTTCCTCATATGACTACAAATTTGTAGGTTACTTTTGGATCCCCAATACTGTGCAAGTAATTGTTTGATAAACAAGCTGGGTTACCATTTCTTTGTTGCATTTCAACCAGTCCCCTCAGTGTGACAAATGGCTCTTCAACAGGACAGCTGTCCTTCGTTGCCTGGCAACACTGCTATAACCCCTGGTTACTCTTAGCAAATAGACTATAGCAGCAGGAAAGCTGGAAGGAAGACTTGGGTGCCCAGGTAAAGTATTCTGCTCAGCAAACACTTGGTTACCTGAAACTCAGAGCGTAGTCTGCTTGGTGACCCTCCTGGAACTGAGCTCCCCAAGCTTTCTGCTGATACCTCAAACAGGAGGAGGGACCTGAATGGGGCCATGCATACATAATTTTAAAGTAGCAGTACACCTTATCCTATAATCCCCCCTTGCCCCTCCTCTTTCCTGCTTTCATGTACCTCAATCCATTTAATTCCTTAATCAAAATGATCTATCACTATTAAACAGCCACATAAGGAATAATTTCTAGTGCTCTTTCTTTTCAGGGGAGAAGAGGATACAAAATGGAATTCTAAACTTCTGAATATTGATGCTCCCAAAGCTTGGCCCATTGACAGAAGTTCTGTTGACCATTCAGTTGTTGCTGTATCTTTCACCCAGGATACCTTCTCCTAAATACACGTTTCTTTAGATCACATCTAAATGTTGGCACTGGAAAATCAGTGACTTTAATTAAACTAAAGAAGCAATGGGATTGCTGAGTATTTGGCTGCTTAATTGGATAGGAAGATGTGTGTGTGTGTGTGTGTGTGTGTGTGCGCGCGCGCGCGCATGCACGTGCACATTTGCAGTCAATTCTATAGAGTTTCAATTACATCCCAAACTCTCTCTTCTCTGCCATCTGGGACATCTCATGCTAGATGAGAAATACTGCAAACCAGCTAATACTTCTAGCTTTCCCTTCCTGTTGTAAAAATGAAAAATTTGTTTGGGAAATAACTGGTCAATTGTGATTTTTGCTCTCTATAAGTTATCTTATTTATAGTAGTGTGAGAAATGAGAGAAATGTTTTATGGTGGTTCTTTTTAGTAAAGCAACAAGAGACAAACCAACATTGTTCCTTTGCAGATTCCCTCTAATTTCTCTCCAAATGAGCTGGAAACCAAAACTCATTTATATATCAATTTTATCAATTAGCATTTGTTGCTTCCAGAAGAAACCTTTCTCACCTTTTGTCAAAATATACTATTACCTACTTACAAGAAAATTTTTTATTATAAAATTTTAGGGCAGTGCACAGTGGCTCATACTTGTACTTCCTAGGAATTTGGGAGGCCAAGGTGGGAGGATTACTTGAAGCCAGTAGCTCAAGACCATGCTATGCAACATAGTGAAATCCCATCTTTACAAAAAAAAGAATTTTTTTTTTCAGCCAGGCCTGGTGTTACTACATCTGTAGCTCCGGCTACTTAGAATGCTGGGGTGGGGCGATTGCTGAAGCCAGGAGTTCGAGGCTGCAGTAACTGTTATCACACCATGCACTCCAACCTGGATGACAGAGTGAGACCCTGTCTCTAAAAAAACTTTTTTTAAACCCAAATTTTAGTGTAAAGTCAGCTAATACATAAGGACTTCTCAGAACTTGGGAAACTATCTTTGAAAATAGGTATATAGAACACAGTGAATTAGACAAATGGATTATTCAGACATGGTACAAAGCATGAAGTCAATCTATTTTCAAACAAGGTATTCCATGGCTGGCTTCTCTCTATATCTTGCGAATCCAAGAGATAATTCTAATTTTTTCTAAACTTTTAAGTTCGGGAGTACATTTGCAGGTATTTTCATATAGGTGAATTGTGTGTCACAGGGGTTTGATGTATGGATTATTTCATCATCCAGGTAATAAGCACAGTACCCAACGGGTAGTTTTTCAATCCTGCCTCTTCTCCCACCCTTCACCCTCAGGCAGACCCTAGGGTCTGTTGTTCCCTTCCATGTGTCCATGTCTAACTCTGTTTTTATTTTTACTGTAGTGCTTCAATTTATCTTTGTCATTCCTGGGTTAAGAATTCTTCTACCCCATAACAACTCCTGCTTTATATAGTAGGAAATCATGACTTAAATGGGTAATCTAAGATTAGCAACTCTGCTCCACATTGAGAAACTCTGCCAATTATTTGCAAAGGCAAACAACGAATTGATATATTCCTCAACTTTTGCAATTCGGTACTATCAATCCTGAGGATGAATCTGATAAATTAATTAGACACCAAGAGTTTCATCACCCCTATAAGTACCTGGGAAATAAGTAGAGATTTTTTAAAAAGGAAAGTAGATGTTTATGGGGGGAACATCTAGTTAAACATATGTAACCATGGCCTATTTCCTTTATTTATATTTCTATGGATTTACCAGGTAGCTCTGGTCTGGATCAGCTTGGCTGGGGCTGGATGGTCTGACTCGTTGTCACTCATCTAGCAGTTGGTTTGACAGGCATTGGTGTCTACTCTGAGCTCATTCAGATAGCAGCAGAAAAATTCCCAGCAACACAGGATGGGAGGCCGTAATGTGAAAGTATGTTCAAGCCTCTGCTTATATCACATTTGTTAATGTTCCATTGGTTGAAGCAAGTCACGTGACTTAGCACAGCTTCAAGGGTTTTGAAATCAACTCCACTTATCAAACACTGAATGGCAAGGTCACACTGCAACAGGGAACACAGCTAGCAGGAATGGAAAGAATTTGTGAACATTTTGCAAGCTACCACAGAGTTATTGGCAACTTCTTTTTCTAGTTGTAAAAACACCAGTCATATTGCATCGGGATTTCCTTGTTTTGAAAAAGTCAAGAAAATCATATTTTAGTTACACAACTATAAGCAAGTTTGGCTTATTAGTCTGTAAAAAGCTTACTATAATAAGCTTATAATCAGTTTAGTTTTTCAAGTGCTTGAGGCTCAGCTCTGTTAATAGAGAAAATCAAGGAGTATTCTTCTCATCCTGAGTATTGTGGCACCCATGGATTTACTATTAAAATTGACTAACTCTGGCATAGTCAATCAATGTAAAAAAACAGTGGATGTATAAGTAATATTAGATATAGAGGCACAAACTATAGATGTAATGTGATTACAAGTATAAGAAAATATTATAGATAACTTTATGACAATTAACTTGAATTATTGGACAAACTGGACAAATTCCTAAAACAATTTCCAACCTAAACTGATTCTATGAAGAAAGAGTTGGAAATAACCCAGATGTCAATCAATCATCTATAAAATGCATGAATACATTTAAATGGCCACCCGCGCGCCGCCAGCGACCCCAGCCACAGAGTCCCACCGCCACAGGCCTCGGGCCAGCAGCCAGGAGCTGCCTCCCCCAGCCCCCGTCCTGCAGCCCCCAGCTGCCCCCAACCCCGCCCCACGGGCCCGGCGCCATGAGTGAGCTGGAGCAATTGAGACAGGAGGCCGAGCAGCTCCGGAACCAGATCGGGGATGCCCGAAAAGCATGTGGGGACTCAACACTGACCCAGATCACAGCTGGGCTGGACCCAGTGGGGAGAATCCAGATGAAGACCCGGAGGGCCCTCCGTGGGCATCTGGCAAAGATCTATGCCATGCACTGGGGGACCGACTCAAGGCTGCTGGTAAGCGCCTCCCAGGATGGGAAGCTCATCATCTGGGACAGCTACACCACCAACAAAGTCTATGCCATCCAGCTACGCTCCTCCTAAGTCATGACCTGTGCCTACGCGCCCTCAGGGAACTTTGTGGCCTGTGGGGGTTTGGACAACATCTGCTTCATCTACAACCTCAAGACCCGAGAGGGCAACGTCGGGGTCAGCCGGGAGCTGCCTGGCCACACTGGGTACCTGTCGTGCTGCCGCTTCCTGGATGACAAGCAAATCATCACCAGCCCTGGGGATACCACCTGTGCCCTGTGGGACATTGAGACAGGCCAGCAGACAGTGGGTTTTGCTGGACACAGTGGGGATGTGATGTCCCTGGCCCTGGCCCCTGATGGCCGCACGTTTGTGTCAGGAGCCTGTGACGCCTCTATCAAGCTGTGGGACGTTCAGGATTCCATGTGCCGACAGACCTTTATCGGCCACGAATCTGACATCAACGCCGTGGCTTTCTTCCCCAACCGCTACGCCTTTACCACTGGCTCTGATGATGCCACGTGCCGCCTCTTCGACCTGAGGGCCGATCAGGGGCTCCTCAGGTACTCCCACGACAACATCATCTGTGGCATCACCTCTGTTGCCTTCTCTCACAGCGGCTGGCTGCTGCTTGCTGGCTATGACGATTTCAACTGCAACATCTGGGATGCCATGAAGGGCGACCGTGCAGGGGTCCTCGCTGGCCGCCACAACCGCGTGAGCTGCCTCGGGGTCACTGATGATGGCATGGCTGTGGCCACGGGCTCCTGGGACTCCTTCCTCAAGATCTGGAACTAATGGCCCCACTCCTGCTGGGCCCAGGCCGGGAGGGACCCTGCCCAAGCCCACACTACAGTCCAGGGCTGTGGGGCTGGGGGCACTCCCAGTCCCATTCTCTGGGCCACAGGCCCTCAGGTCCCTGCCCTCCCACCCAGGTTTGGTTCCTCCTGGGGGCCCCCAATGTAGAGATAAGGGGATGGAATAGGGGGAAGAGGAGGGGCAGGAGGCCCTCATCCTTCTGCTGCCCTGGGGTTGGGGCCTCACCCTTCTGGACGGCCAGAGGCAGGAGGTGAAAACCCCAGGGGCTGGCTTTTTAAAAACTGGTTTTATTTTAATTTTTATTATATTTTCAGTTTTTCCATAAAGGAGCCAATTCCAACTCAAAAAAAAAAATGGTATATTCATACAATTAAATACTACAACACAATGAAAGAAAAATGAACTACTGTTACAAGCAACAACATGGATAAATCTCACAGACATGGTGTGAGTGAAAAAAGCCAGACATATCAAGAACATGCTGTTTGATTCCATTTATATGAAGTTCAAACAGACAAAGATAATCTTTGGTGGTAGAAGTCAGAATAATATTCTCTTTAGGACAGAGGATCAAATAGGGGGTTCAAGGTAGCCTGCAGGAGTGCTGGGAATAGTATTCTGTATCTTAATATGGGTTGCGTTTGTACAGATGGACACGTTTGAAAAAAATTCTTCAAATTATACGCTCAAGATTTGCGCACTTGATGCCAATTATACTTCAAGAAAATTAATTAAAAAATAAAAATATTAAACATAAATCATTTTATTCACTAAACAAGTAGCCTGTTGTTATACCAAGCATTCTGGGAAAATGTAATTCCAATTTTACTCTCTTGCTAAAGCAGTAAGAGGGACTATTTCCAATTTATATTGTCTTCTCTTTTTCCCAACTTATTTTATGAGGCGAATATAACCTTGATATTTAGAAAAGACAGGAATATATGAGAAAGAAAAATTACTGGCTAATTGTGCTTATATACATAAATTTTAAAAAAATTCTAAATGAAACATAGAGAAGCTGAATCAAGGAATGTATAAAAAGATTAAGTCTCCTGACCAAGTTTGGTTTGATTTACAAAACTGACTTGAATTAGAAAATATATTACTATAATTGACCATAAAAATATCTTAAAGGGAAAAATTTATATGATTTATTTAGAACCAAAATCATTACTAAAGGATGTATTTATTTAGGCCCAAAATAGAGAATAAACTAAAAACAAAGAAGTTTATGTAACTTGACATAGGGCATTTGCAAGAAAACAACTAATATCATGAAAAATGAAAACCTTCTTCATAATAATTAGCCTTTTTGTTAAAATCAGGGGTAGATCAAAATCACCACTGCCGTTACATCTGTTTAACACTTTTGTTGCCAGTGAATTAAAATAAGGAAAATAAATACTAGAGGAAAAATACTGGACATGGGATCATCAAATGTGTATATGACTTTTGATAACACAATTTAAAGATAAATATTTGACCTAGGTGTCTGGAGGAGAAGGTGCATACATGACAAATGCTGTTCATCCATTTTTTTTTTTTACTGTCCATACACACACACACACACACACACACACACACACACACTTTTTTTTGGCAAGCACATAGCAGTTTACCCATTGCCTAATTAGTGGTGGTCGTATGACTTGTTTTAGCTAATGAAATGTGAGACACGACATGTGCCATTATCAGAGCGAAGCTACAGGTAATGGTATGCATTTACTATGTTTTCTCTTTCACTAAATAAAATAGGGATAGTGGGAAAGCAAAGGCATGTTTGGCAATTTTAAAATGAGAAACTGAATATCCCATAAGGAGGGGGAGAGAGGCAATGGGGAGAGGGAAGGGGAGAGTAGAGGTAAGTTAGTGATGTGTTACAGAAAAGAGTATGACTGCTAGCATCAGCAGATTAATCCTGAAACAGGAGGAAGGTGAGGCACCCCCTCCCAGAATTTGAGATAGCTAAGCTAAGGGGTACCCATTCCCACTGACGTGATTTAAATATATGTCAAGGCATATTTAACTAAGTGAGAAAAATCCGTTTCTCCCTTCCGTCACCCCATACATTTTCTTTCTCTTCTAAAATTATACAAGTAATGTAAGACTACTCTAGAAAAAGATTTCTTTCAAGCAACATGGAGAGACACAATTGAAGGATTCACCCACCTCCCACTCATCTATCCATTATGCTTCTACTGTTAGAACTCTGCTTTTTCTAAGCACATGAAATACACGTATATAACACAAAACAGATTCAATGTTTTGAAAAATTTAGTAAGACTATTTTCAGAAATTCCCATTCATTTTCTTTTGTAACTGTTTGAACCAGTACAATTCGTTGCAGTGCTTAAATTTCAGACAGCAAGTTAAATCACTGATAAACAGCAACAATGCATACATGATGCTGTTTCTGAATTTTGCTAGGGCTGCTAGTCCTACGAGGTACCTGAGAATGGCCCCAAAATTTAAGAAAGGGTGTGCAAGCCAAAGTGGCGTATCATTTGCAGGTAAAAATAGAAGAGCCAGTGCTGAAGTTGTCCTCTCCCCTGACGTGCCAATCCTGAAACGTAACATCCAGGTCTGTGAATGACTACAATACCCAGAACACCCTGAGGATCTGTGGTGAACAGGCAGCATGAAGACCATGCAGCATGAGCAAGGAACAAACCCATGTGGTTTTCATCCACTGAGATTTTTAAGATTGTAATGACAATACGGACTATCCTTATGTGATGCACAGGGCCCACTACATTACATCATATTGCTCTACCTGCACTCGGAAAATCACTGACACTCCTATCCACTGGACTTGGGGGCAAGGTTTTATACATTCAGTGGACACTAAGCATTACCTAATCTGCATCCATAAAAACAAATTTCCTTCAGTTGGCTGACAGGGCCAACTTTGCAGACTAGAAATGGCTGCTTGTGGTGCCTGAAAGGGAGTGACTGTATCTTTAATTTTTCAGTTATAGCTGAGGAAGCAGTAGCCATTTGGCCGAAGAGAGGCTAGAATTTCTTTAGTAATGTTGGACATGGATGGAGAATATTTTTAAAAAACAAACAAAACTAACCACAATTTTCTTAGATGGGTCTTACATACTGAGATAATCCATTCTACTAAAAAATATCATTATAGTAGGCAAAACTCTCCGAGGGAGAGAGGAACCTCCCAAACAAAGGCCTATGGGAAAAAAGATGAGAGATATGGGCGCAGCTGGAACTCAAGCAGTGGAGATTATGCAAAGTCAAGTCAAAGAAAACAGTCAGAAGCATTGGCAGGGGGATCATGTATGAAACTGTCAGTCAAACACCCCATCTAGTAGAGAAAAAGGAAGCTCCCCTTTATACCATCCGCATTCATTCATGTAAGTCTCAGGCAGACGCTGCGTCTCAATTCTAGGAAATCTCCCAGTATCCCATATAAGGGAAGCCTCTCTCCTTGGAGCAGGTTACAGATTCACCCAGGGGCTGGGCGGAAGTTGATTTCTTGGAATTGCTTGATCCCCAAAGCGAGGCCTAGAATCCAGGTCACAGAGTATTTGCCTCTGAGAGAACTTTGTAAAGTTCAGAACCTGTCACAGCCAAAAATAAAACAAGACATAAGGTGATAAGCCACATGACACAGCACTAACTGATGGGGTAGCCAGAAATTTGCCCTTCGGACCACTGAGGGCTAGGGAGGCCACAGTGAAGGAATGTTTTACAACCCAAAGAAACAGTCATTAAAAGATTAACAAAGTACCATGTCTTACTGTTGTTGCTCTGCCCTATCTCCTGTAAGATCCAGAGAAAACAATGAAGGACATAGTACGTTTAAGGGAGATTTAAAAAAAAAAAAAAAGTTAAATGAATGTACCATATACACTCCATCATCTAGAGCATTATAAGAGGTAAGACCATTTAGTGGTTAAGAATGCAAGCTGGGCTGGGCATGGGGGCTCACGCCTATAATCCCAGCACTTGGGGAGGCCAAGGCGGGTGGATCACCTGAGGTAAGCAGTTCAAGATCAGCCTGGTGAAACGCTGTCTCTACCAAAAAAAAAAAGAAAAAAGAAACAAAAATTAGTCAGGTGCAGTGACTGGCACAAGACTTTAATCCCAGCTACTTGGGAGGCTGAGGCAGGAGAATCACTTGAACCCAGGAGGCAGAGGTTGTGGTGAGCCGAGATCACAACACTGCTCTCCAGTGATGGGTGGCTCCATCTTTAAAAAAAAAAAAAAGATACAAGCTGCAGCTTGAGTTAGAATCTTGGCTCCAACAACTATTAGCTGTGCGTTCTTGGGCAGGTTAAACTCCGTTGGCCTTGGCTTCTTTACTTGTAAAGTGGGAAGAAAAGTATCCACTTCCCAGGGATGTTGAGGGGTTCAATGTGAAAAATGTTGTTCCTAATCTATGTGTGAAAGAAAATATTTCAAAAATAAAAAAATATGAAGAATGTAGAACAATGACCAGGTCCTCACTGTTAGTTTTCTTTGTGTATTATTTTTTTTTCCAATTTAGAGTTACCACATGTTCTGTAATTGTACATTAAAGATAATAGAGAGATAAGGACATCTGGAGGAAAGACTACCATACATTTCTCTATCATCAGTTTACCAAATACTTTTATAGGCTACCTCATTTGATCTTTATAACAACACGGCAGACTGGACAGAGCCTATATTCACTCCCAGTGTACACAGGAAGAAAATGAGAACCAGAGGTTAAAGTCACTTCATTGCCAAATGGAAAAGCCTAGAAAAACATCAAGATTATCTAGATTAAGCCTAGTACACATTTAGTCCCCTATGCTAAGGCTGAACTGATCAGAGGTTTTGTGGATGTGATAAAGTATTGAATTTTGCCTTGAAAGTTGAGGATTTTTGTAGTTAGAAAACAATGAAAATTTCACATGACATGAACTGAGTTTAGAATAAGATTATCCCATATTTATGGGACTTTTTCTATAGAAATATGTAGAATAACACAATTTGGCTCTCAAACATAGCACTTACCAGATTTCGAGATTTTTTCTGAAACTTTCCAGAGCATTAATAAATGCATTATAAGTAATTTGGGGGAGCTTCAGTTTTGTATTTAATACCTGGGTCTTAGTAATTCATATTCTATTGGCTTGCTCAAAATTTTTCAACACGTTTTTATACTTCTTAAATTATGCAAACTCTCAGATACTCCAAGGTTGTATTTGTTTGAGGCATAAAAGCTTCATGTTGATATTTCAGGTTAGCCTGGGACGAGGGGAGAACTTGATACCTTTGATAGCATGTGGCAGGCCATCTAATTCCTGTCCACTCTTTCTCCTCAGCCTGGGCAAGGGCCCAGACTGAGCCTGGCAGGTGAATTCAAG